CTCTGTTAAACAAGATGGGGCGAGGTTGTTACTGTAAACTTACCCTTAAACTGTAAAACTTTAGTTATACAGTTTAAGGGTAAGTTTACAGTAACAATCTCGCCCCATCTTGTTTAACAGAGCTTCTTCACCGTTACACTCCTCCTCGGTCACTTAGGTCTGCTGACCAGCTGCTCCTGGTCATTCCCAGTTCTAAACGGAAGCTCAGAGGAGATAGGGCTTTCTCTGTTAGTGCCCCTAAACTGTGGAACGCCTTGCCCTTGCATGTCCGACAGGCCCCTTCACTGTCCATTTTTAAGACTTGTTTAAAAACGTATTTTTTCTCACTGGCCTTCAACCCAAATGAGATTTGATTTTACTCAACTTTTACTGTATTGGTGCTGATTTTACTTATTTAACTGTGTGATTTTATTGTGTTTTTGTATTCAGTTTTTATTTTATGTGTTCAGCACTTTGTTTCAGCAGTGGCTGATGTTATAGCGCTTTATAAATAAAGTTTGATTGATTGATTGATTGATTGATAATCCATGAAAACTGTAGACACAATTACGGCATAATGTCATAAAGACCATAGCAATCAGTTCTAATTACAATCTCTATACACAATCATAAAACATGCTAAATGTCTGTTCATTAACCACTGATACAAGGATTATAATTAAGATATTTCAGTGCAGATACTGCTGGTTTTCCAATAGCACTTTCTTAACATTATCAGTAAAATCCTTCAGGTCAGTAGAAAGAACTTTCATTTGTTAAACTGGATTATTTCCACTTGGTGTTTCAGAAAATGAGCAGTTCTCTGGAACAAGTCGTGGCCCAGAAGAAAGAGGCCATCGAGGCGCTGATGGACATGTTTGAGAGGGGGGCCGAGGTGCTGGCGAGCGCCGTGGGTGAGCTCTTCCCCCTGTGTGAGGCGGCCGCCCCGGTTCTCCGGCTGGCCTTGGACAACGTGCAGAGCAAAGAGGTGTTCTACGTCAAGGAGCAGTTCCTGACGGTCAGGAACAAGCTGGACGTCCTCTCCGGTCAGCTGGAGGACATCGACTGCGAGATCAAGAAGGGACGGCTGGACTCGCACTACTTCTCCGTGGAAGAGAACATCAGGAACCAGTTCCGGAAGTACATGGACATCCTGGAGGCCAAGCCGCAGTTCAGGGAGGTGAAGACAAAGCTTTTCTTGGAGCACTTTGCCAAAACTGGAGGGGAGAAGAACCTGTGTGTGCTCTACGACGCTCTGATGGGAACGAACAGCTTCGGAGAAGCAGTTTTAGACGTGGTGGAAAGGTAATAACTCATCCTGGTGACAAGTGGCTCCTGATGAACTAGAAGTAAAAAGCTTCTGTCTTTCAAGCCCATTTTCATGCCCCCGCGCCAAGGTATTGACGCTTGACCAAGCGTCATTATGTTGACGTGGGGGGTACCCCTGCGCTTCCGTTTTGTAAGAGATTGGGCGGAGCAGGATGATATGTTTTTACAAGAGTAGAATTTCGCGAAACTAACCGTTCTAGACCCTAAATTTAACTTCTACTACCCTTATAGAGCCTAACCCTGACCACAGACCCTAAAGTTAACCACTAACCCTGATCCCTCATGTTAACCACAGACCCTAAAGTTAACCTTTAATCGTGATCCCTCATGTTAACCACAGACCCTAAAGTTAATCACTAACACTGATCGCTCATGTTAACCACAGACCCTAAAGTTAANACCTTTAATCGTGATACCTCATGTTAACCACAGACCCCAAAGTTAACGTCAACTAACCTTATAGAGCCTAACCCAGACCACAGACCCTAAAGTTAACCAATAACCCTGATCCCTCATGTTAACCACAGACCCTAAAGTTAAGGTCAACTACCCTTATAGAGCCTAACCCAGACCACAGACCCTAAAGTTAACCACTAACCCTGATCCCTCATGTTAACCACAGACCCTAAAGTTAAGGTCAACTACTCTTACAGAGCATAACCCTGACCACAGACCCTAAAGTTAACCACTAACCTTGATCCCTCATGTTANTAACCACAGACCCTAAAGTTAACCACTAACCCCTAACCTCATGTTAACCACAGACCCTAAAGTTAACGTCAACTACCCATATGGAGCCTAACCCTGACCACAGACCCTAAAATTAACCTTTAATCATGATCCCTCATGTTAACCACAGACCCTAAAGTTAACCACTAACCCTGATCGCTCATGTTAACCACANGACCACAGACCCTAAAGTTAACCACTAACCCTGATCCCTCATGTTAACCACAGACCCTAAAATTAACCTTTAATCGTGATACCTCATGTTAACCACAGACCCTAAAGTTAACCATTAATGGTGATCCCTCATGTTAACCACAGACCCTAAAGTTAACCATTAATGGTGATCCCTCATGTTAACCACAGACCCTAAAGTTAACCACTAACCCCTAACCTCATGTTAACCACAGACCCTAAAGTTAACGTCAACTACCCATATGGAGCCTAACCCTGACCACAGACCCTAAAATTAACCTTTAATCATGATCCCTCATGTTAACCACAGACCCTAAAGTTAACCACTAACCCTGATCGCTCATGTTAACCACAAACCCTAAAGTTAACTTCCGCTACCCTTATAGAGCCTAACCCTGAACACAGACCCTAAAGTTTACCTTTAATCGTGATACCTCATGTTAACCACAGACCCTAAAGTTAATCACTAACACTGATCGCTCATGTTAACCACAGACCCTAAAGTTAACGTCAACTACCCATATGGAGCCTAACCCTGACCACAGACCCTAAAATTAACCTTTAATCATGATCCCTCATGTTAACCACAGACCCTAAAGTTAACCACTAACCCTGATCGCTCATGTTAACCACAAACCCTAAAGTTAACTTCCGCTACCCTTATAGAGCCTAACCCTGAACACAGACCCTAAAGTTTACCTTTAATCCTGATTCCTCATGTTAACCTCATATTTCATGCAAACCCAGAAAAGCCACGGGTGGCAAGGACGCCCATGTTGTTGCCCATGTTGCCCATGTTGAATTTGTAACATATAGATGCTTGGGCGCGGTCAATATATTACAAATTCAACATGAGAATGTGTCCTTCAGGTACGTGGCGAGGAACCGCCGGCTCCTGGAGGATTTCTGTGTCCGGATGAAGGAGCTCTTCTGCCTGGGCCTGATCGCCTTGCTGGGACACTGCGCCCTGACCCTGCAGAGCCAGGAGGAAGAGCAGGACAAGATCCAAGAGTGGAGCAGCAAAATACAAGAAGTGGAGTCCAGGATGAAGACCACCATCGACTCCTGCGTCGCTGCGTTCCCAGAACAAGCCAAGCTAGACGTGCAGCACCTCCTGCAGGAGAAAGAGGAGGAGAGTCTGCAGGACACGAGCCAGCAGGTCCTCCAGCTCCTGGTGAAGAAATACGACTGGGTGTGCTGGTCGGTGCGCCTCATCAACCACTCGGGCAGCGCCTACAGGAACCTCCGAGCAGGGAAGCACTTCCATCACGTGGCCGGTCAGAACTGGTTCGAGGTGCTGCAGGTGAACAACATCAACCTGGTGGTGTCGTACAGCACCAAGCCCCAGCCGGTGCCTCGGGACCGCCTCCTGCAGCTGATGGAGGCGCAGGGGAGGCGGGGCAACGCTCCGGAGGTGGTGGAGGTGTTGGAGAAGCAGCTGTGCGGCTTCGTCGTGCACGCCGTCAGTCGTCACAAAGAGTCGGCGGCAGCCTGGAGTTTTCCGGAGGAGTGCCACTACTGGGAACGCCACAAGAACGTGGCGGTGTGTGTGCACTCTGAGTAAAGCTGCAGGGGGCGGGGCTTAAACAAGAAGGTCTCAGCTGCAGCTTAACTTAAGCTGAATCCCATTTCATCCACTTCCTGCAGTTTGTGTGTTTATATCAAATAAAGATGTTCCAGATTGTGATAATATATATAAGATTATAGCTATAATTCAGCTTCAACAACAGCATCTGTTTAATTTAAAGCAGGGGGGTCAAGTTTACTTTCACTGAGGGCCACAGGAGCGTTATGTTGGCCCTCAAAGGGCCAGTTAATAACTCCAATGTTTCACGTTTAACTTTGACTGAAAACGTCACGCTGCTACATCTGAGCACCGCTAACAAACCCTAACTGAGCTCTACCTGGTATTTCCTGTATAGAAACAGTGTTTTAACACATCCTCTTATAAACACTGAGCAGTGTATGTGTACAACTGAATAAAAAATAAAAATATACATAAATACAATTAAAAATAAAAGTAAGAGTTTTACTCACCGTTGAGTTGTTGTCAAGGTTATGAAAGTTTTGAATTTTTCATTATAGTTTAGTTTTGTTGTAACTTTTTTTCTTTTAATTCGGTTAGTTTTAGATGTTAGAGTGGAATTTCTAGTTTTTGTTAGTTATTATTGCCTTTTTAATGTTTTAGTTTAGTTTTCATTAGTTATTAGTTTTTTGTGCTGTTCCTGTGAGTTAACTAACCAGCAGCTACAGTACCTGGTCACCGGTGAAAGCAGTCTATTATAACGACACCCTAAGGACTTGGGCAATTGTTTTTCACAGAGCTACTGACAGAAGCAGTAATGCTCACAGGTAGCCATCTTGTGAAAGATTGATTTGTTTGTTTTTTTCCTTTGGGAAGTATTCCACCTATTTTATCAGCTGTTTCCACAACAAGACACTTGCTTTAATTTTCCTCACAGTCATATTTAAAGAAATCTCAAATCAGACTTTGTCCCAACTTTTGTTGCCATAACCTGGCCACAGCTTGGTTTAAAAAAAGTTTAAGTTCATTTTTGTAAAAATATAACAGCTCCAGTTAGTCTTTCTTTTTATCATTTTATTAGTTTTTATTTATTTCAGTTACCTGGAACGTTTTTTTAATTTAAGTTTTCATTATTTCGTTAGTTTTAGTTAACTATAATAACCCTGGCTGTTATAAGTCTTGAACTCTTCCACTTTCCAACAGGGAATTCCCACATAACCAACATGCATTATGGGAGATGTAGTTTGTAGTTGATGCTGGCTTTAAAGCAGCTTATTTTGAAACATAAATTCTGTTGAACAGCGCAGGGAGCTGAACAACTATAATTATCTTTCACCTTTAAATTTGTTTATTTATTGAATCATAAATTTAGCAGCCGGACACACTTTACCTGCAGGCTGCATTTGACCCGTGGGCCTTAAAGGAATTACACACAACTTTGTGGTGAACATTTTAACCACTCCACCTTGTGATGTTAATATAAGGACCAAGGTGAAATGGGATTCAGCCTTATACTGCAGGGAGTAAAAAAAAAATCAGGATTTAACTTGAACAAAGCCTAAAAATGGGGATCTGATGGATTAATTATTAGTTTTTAAGGCTTTCAGTGTGGAAGCACTGAATGTGAGAAAACTCAGGTCTGTTTAAAGCTTCACAGCAGCAACATTCAGAGTTTAAACAAGTTGGATTTTAAATGACTGAAGTGACTTTTTAACATCTTTATGGTTTTCACACCATCACACTGTAAGAGTTAGGATTAATGAAGATTTGTCTACAAAGTGTTTAACTGAGTCTGATGTCAGATTAATGATGGATCTGTCTGAACTAAGTGAGGCTGTAACAAATACTACTACTACTACTACTACTACTACTACTACTACTACTACTACTACTACTACTACTACTACTACTACTA